CCCAAATAATCAAAAATGTAAAGGATAGCTGGAAATTAGAAACGGCAGAAAGCGTCGAAATACACAAACATCATACTACAACTTTACTCAACGGCGACAAAGGCAACGTGTCATCGTGCCTTTTTAGATACATCCCAAAAAACCGACAACCAGTCGACCTAACTACCTGTATGTAAAATAAAAACAACACTAGACCAACCCCCGCCACCATTTCTTACCTGTCACCCCCAAGGACAATAACCTTAAGATTTATTAAAATTAAGATTAATATTAAGTTTAGTATTAAAAATAACATGTTTATGGTATAAATAGTTTGTAAGATTGCTAGATGTTTTAATATTAGGAATTCTCCTGATGAAGGCAAAAGCGAATTTGCCGAAACACGTGTAGAGATACACACAAAAAAACTTTCGAAATAAAAGTTAGTATATTTTTAAAAAACAAAAAATAACCGCATTTAAACATTTTCGAAGTAACGACTCAAAAATTAAAACAAAAAAAAATGAATAAATCAGGTTGTTTATTTTTTAGAAGATCATTAGATTATATTAGATTTTCAATCTTTATATTTTTATATACTTCTGTTTACAACCGAATCAATATAATATTTCTCTATATAGATATATATAGATATTATATATATATATATATAATATATAACGAACCTCTATGTGTTCATTTTATTTTGAATGTCCCTATATCTTCAAGGGTAACAGGCGTGTATATTTAAATATGGATTAAAATGAAATATATAATTATTGAAAAGACGACGTTAAAATATGATGGCATATGAAATGTTGCCTATAGAAAATTAGTCTTAATCGGGATTGCATTTAAAAGCTTAACTTTATAAATGATAGGTATATGGTTTTATAGCATTTGTGCTTTGGTAAAGGAATTCAAAATTTTGTTGACTATTCAATATAACTCAGCAAAGGTTTGAATAACAGAATATCTCCACGAATAAGACTATTTTTTATTTAAATTTAATATAAACCTTAATATTGATACTACTTTATGATTTTCTTATTTACTTTCTCATCAAAGTATAGAAAAATTACTTATAGAAATACATAACAAAATTTCTTCTTAAAACCATTTGCAGTAGGAAAGCAAATCGTATTTGATTCGTAGAGGGATTGCTTCAATATATACGACCAGAAAAATTAAATAAAACTATTCGACTTGTTGTTCCCGTCTTCTGTCTTGTGGTATATATGTCTTCTGTCTTATATGATATATATAAATGTGTACCTTATGATATATCGTCAATTATTTTTAAATTTAAAATCACTTTTATACCTATTAATCCAATTAAGGTAGGTTTCTTAATAAAAACCAAGAGCAATAATAGAAAGGAAGTGATTCTTCGCGAACATATATTACGAACTTTTTCAGTTAATTCTAGTAAAAAATACAAGAAATTAGAACTAGTGCATCTCTGGTAATAAAGTCAAGAGATAGAAATAAGATTAATAAATAGTGTTGTAGGTTGCAAAAACAGATTGTTTAATATTCTCAACATTATATATATAATGTATATATTTTATTATTTATACCATATTTCACGAAAACTGGTGATCGTTTTTCGATTACATAGTTTTCGAAATGAAATTGTAAATAAAATGTAAAAAATTTTTATAGATATATAGATATCTATTTATCTAAATTCGTTAATGATATGCCACATTATATTTGTAGTAAACTTCTAGTTAGAAAAGTATATTGAATCTTCTTCTCTTTGCTTGATGAAATCCGAGTCTAAATCCGCTTTTACTAAATAGTGTCTGTGATCACTTGGGTGATCTACTACAACAAGTAACAAGTATCATTTATATATGATAAGTTTTTTGGAAGTAAGTATTAGTGTTGCTGAAAAAGCTACGCTTTTTTTATATGGTGACAAAGAAGCTATATTCAAATTTAGAGGGTTTTCGAATAGCAAAGAAAAGACGTACACAAAAATTTATTTTAATTTTATTGAAATTTTGGCTGACCATTCAACGTTGTTTCAAGTATTGCCAAGTACTCGTCATCAGTGGTCTCAGAAAATACTCGAATTTTTCATCAGTTTATAGTCCGTATATAATTTGTTTGGACTGCAAGTGCCAGGCTTAAAACTCGTGCCTGTCAAATTAGAAGCGATGGCTAATCGTGTTTATCCACAAGTAGCCAAGGCTGCACAAACTTTCAGTGCTCTAGTTTCTCCAGGTTTTAAAGTTTTTTTCGATAATAAAAATATACCCGCGCATTGGATCCTTATACTCCATTGCTAAAATATATAATAAATTTCTCATATTTAAAGGCTATTTACACTCTCAACATTTATTTAAACATAAATTTCATAATATACACAATTACAGATTTCATATAAATAATTTCTAACTAGAAATTGTAAAAATTTCAAACTAACGTCATCAATATAATAATTTTTTTTCTTAAGTGAAATAATAAAATCTTACTCATTGTCTTCCTTATTTCTAAAGTTTGTTTTGCTTTATAAACTAAAAAGGATACTGAATAAATAAATTAAATACATTTATATATACATAAATAAATTTTCCATTTTTTCAATAAAATTGTTTAAAAATGTAAGCGTCATCAACAGTTTTTTGTTTGGTTTATAGTGGTACCCTGTACCCTTCATCCTGTATACATATCAATATGTGCCTCAAATTATAACTGAACCACCATCAGATTTTGGAGTATGCGCCTCCCACCAATCTATCGCCTCAATCATACTCTCATCCGAGAGTGCAGTAGTCGCCACTGAAGTGTCCAACAGAACGTCGTTAAGTTCTTTTTTGAATGTGACAACACCTTCATAGAAAGAACCGTTCCGATCCTGTTCGAAGAATGATTGCAGTCCTGTGGTGGCTGCAAGTGTTCCCGAGTTCGTTGCATTACAGCGATCCAGCGGCGGTGACATTGAAATCGTTGTGTGATTAAGTAATAATTGTTGTTGTTCATTGCTTGAGGCTGGGTACATTTGTGCGGATGTTGGAGAGCTGGAAGAAGGGGAGGGAGTTGAGGACACATATTCTGTTTCAATATATTCTTGCTTTATAATGTGTGGCTTTAAATGCATTTGAAGTTGTTGCTGACGCTGCTGCTGCTGCTGTTGTTGTTGGTGTTGTTGTTGTGGGGCAGTTGGTGCCATAAACTGAGTATCTTCCCCTAAATGATTGGTGGCACACGTCTGCAATAAGACTTCATTAGCGGCAGGTGATAGCGTTGTCGCTGTGTGTTGTGCTATCGTTGAGTTCGCTGTTGTTGTTGTGGTTATTGTTGGTTGTTGTTGATGATGTAATGATGAACTTGCAAGGGGGGATAACATTTGTGGCACGGGCGATTGCGATAATGATGACGTCGCTAAATTTACACATTCACCGTTTGGTTTTTGAGTAATGCGTGTTGCAGGAGTCCTTGTTGTTGTTAAAGGTGCAGTTTTCATTGATACTGGAGGACACTGTACAGCAGGTGCTGTTGTAGCTGTTGTTGCGATAATTGATGTTGACGCAGCATGTAGCTCAGTGTTATTAGCTGCTGTTATTGCAGGACTTAAGCAATTAGTGTCAATTATGCCATTATATTGATCATCGCTTATATTTGAGGTTGGCGGAGAATTTGAATTACTAATGAAAATATCGGGGGTGAGCAGCTGATACGTATTTGTTCCAGGTATTCTAATATATTGCATACCATTCAGTGTTGTAATATTTGGTAACATATCAATTTGGTTGAATTCATTGGAATTTTCAGTGAAATTGTTGTCAATATTTGAATTACTAATACAATTGTTGTGCAATGCTTGTGGTGAAAAATACTCTTCCACATCATAGTTGTTTAAAGAGTCTTCGTATGCTTCGTCTATAGGAGGCGAAAATGGGTCGAATTCATCTTTGATTAAGGTGAAGCTGTCGTCACCACTTGAGCTACCTAGTACTGATGCAGTAAGGTTATCAGTTTTCCCGCCAATGGGAAAATCGAAACCTAAAACACGTTCCAAACTTCGTATGTACTCAACTGCCATGCGTAGAGTTTCCACTTTACTTAACTTTTTTGCATTGCCACGTCCATTGCCCTGTGCTTCAAAAGCTTCTGCTACTTCTTCCGGAATTCGTTCACGTAAAGCTGCAAATCCGTTATTAACTTGCTTAACGCGATTCCGTTCCCGCGCATTACGTCGAGCTACAGCCTGTGGCAATGGTAATCCCTTTCGCCCGGGTGTCCCTGCGGGTTTTACAGTGGGTGTGGTATTACTCGTGACTGCTTTGGTTTCTCCTGAATTTTCTGTTGTTGCTTCTTTGGTTAGTTTAAGTTTCTTCACCGCAGTTGGGGTTAACTTATTATCTACATTTGACTTAGTTTCACTTAACGGACGTTTGGTGGTACTGGCAGTGGTTTTATTGATATGGGTTGTGGCATTGTTAACAGTGCCAAACATGCCGAAATCTTTAATTTTTCTGACGATTGTATTGGCATTGTTGCTACTAATATTCAAGGTATTACCGTTATTTTCACTTAAAATATTTTGCACTGTGATTTTGGTAAAAGTTTTACTTGAGCCGCTACCGGTGGTCTTTATATTTGTGTTACCGGCAGTATTCGTAGAACCGCTGTTACTTTTGGTATTTGTTGCATTCATTTTTAATCCTTGCGACAGGTTGTAACTCAAAACACTCAGCGTGGCCATTGAATGTGGTCCGTTTTGCGAACGGTATCTGAGCTTCCGAACTCTTTCACTTCTTCACGTCTTTACAAATTTACAATATTACGAATTTTCTTTTTACGTTTTCCCGCCACAACTTTTTAGCTCGCCAGCCTATTACAGACTAGTTTGAAATGTTACGTTACAATTTTTACAACGTTTGATAGTAATTTTTGTGAAAAGTCTGTCCTCGTTATAGGACAGCTGCTTTGGCTATGTGTCGCGTGCCCGATGTCTGGCTATGAAATGTCATGGGGCGTCGCTCGAAACAAACGTCCTACCATCGGAAATGACTTCGATAACTGTTGGTGTACACAATGGAAATAACGTACTCTACAATGAGCTAAGCGATCGTTATGTGCTTACGTAAAATTGAAAATGAAATAAAAATAATACATAACACAAATGAAGTTCATTGTATGTACAAAGGTGCGCTGCGCTCCCCGCACGGCAGTACGAAACACACCAAATGTTTTCTGAATATACTCACACAAGCATGCATAATTCGGTACGATGTATATGTGTGGTAGCTATGTGACTTTTCATCCCCTAGGCTGTGTGCAGAGCATTTGATCCGCTATTGTTTGGCTCCTTCTTTTCCATTTACTTTTAGTTATTTTCTCTGTGCTTTAGCATTTGGTTGTGGTGATCCCTGTTTCCTCCCGATTTACCTTCTATGTTGGGTTAATGTATTCCTTTCGTTCTTTCCGTGCATTCGTTTTTTGGGAAAACTAACATCTGATCGCGTACTTCGATATGTGGAAGTACATATGACACCGTCATGTGCTAAGGGTGGTTTCGACTATTTTACTAGTATTTGTGCTTTGCTTGTTCTTATATAGGTGTTATGATATTGTGCCTTTTCAGTGCCATAAAGTTCTAACGACTTTTTGGCTAAAAGCGTTTTTTATTCTATAAAATATATTCTTACATACAATATGTTGTATTTATCAAAACTGCTCCTTACTTCGCCCAACTTTCTGCTTCTGTCTTTATATGATACGTTGAAGGGGAAAATATGTTTTATGGGAAAGAGTGCATTGAGATTAAATAAAGTTTGTAGTCAATTATAATATATACATAATACATGTATGTGTATATAAATTTAGGACCTGTCGATATTTCATTGTAACTGAAATTTGAAGATCTAATAACTTTTCCTTTGCCTTAAAATTATTATATTACATTTTTGAATTGTTTTACAAAGACGAAATTAAAGCTACATATTTCAGATAGTGAAACTAAAATCTAATGAGTTTTGTCAGTTGTTTATATACCCTCTTCTAAGAGTTTTTATCATTCAATTATTGCTTCATTCATGTATCAATGCATTTACAGAAAGAATTGTGCTTCAATGTAATTAACTCTTATTCTTAATATCAAATCCAATAAATATATGTAAGCTTAATTAACTCATCTATTTTTTGAGGATATTATATAATATTAAGACGCGATATTATTTATTCTTTATTTATCGGCTTGGATTCCTTAACAGTTTCATTTGATTACCTAAAACCAAGAAACTGAAAAAGACTGCAAGTAATTTACATTCTTAAATAGAGATGGATAAGTGTGTATTCCTAAATTGATCCACCTTGTCATACCGGTTGAGATTTTCTATGGATTAGTTAGTTTTTGAAGTCTTCGTCAAAGTTATATATAACATATTATAATGTAACTCCGAGGAATTCCAATTAGTTTGCATCAAAACATAAGAGATGGATAAGCTTAAATTTTTAAATGGATTATTTAGTTTTTGAAGTCCTCAAAATTATATATAGTATATTACAATGCAAATATTTTCTTGCAAATATTCTTGAACTAGATGTTATATTCACGTTGAACTACAGTAGCAATAAAGTGTTACGATTTGTAAATTTTGACCAATATTTAGTTAACCAATTTGTTGAAATACGGAATATTATCTTACTCTTGTCTCAAATAGTCTGATAAAAATATCTAAAAAAAATGATGGAAATTTCTTGAAAGTAAAATGTTACCACGACGACTTGGTGTAGCAAGTAATTTAGTAACACCGAGCTTTTGTAGCAAATAAATTAAATATACTATAAAAATCGAACTTTCGATTCTTGTTTTTATTAGGGCGTTATTATGAAATGAACATAACAACCAAAGAGTTTTGAAGGTTCACATTCTGTTTAAAAAGTTTTTATTCTTTTCCAATTTTTCCGGAACTGCTTAGCAATCAGATACGATATGATCGTCGGTTTTTGCTTTCGTATGTTCTGTCTCTCAACTGCTATGGTATTTTCTTATCATACACCAACCTAAAAGCTGGTCTCTAGCTATGCGATTCATATTATGTCAATATGTGTAAAGAAATGTTAATACACATTCTAATTGTTTGTTTCAAAGCAAACTTTAGAAAAGACTGATATAAGGAGGTTCCACTTAATCAAACCGTATGAAGATCTCACTTTACTTCTCTATAATATGTGTTTTAGCTTATTTGGAATTCATTAATTAATATATGGTAGTAACGCATTCTTATTAATTTTGATAATAAAATAAAAAATAATTCAAATATCTTCAAAGTACATAACTGTATCACATCTGATCTTGTGTAGACTTTAACATTTGCAGGCTAAAAGGCTATAAGTATAATGACATCTGAGAATTATAAATATAGCAATATATCTCATCTAAAGCTAGTGCTATGAAAAACTGAAGTTAAAAGCGCATATATTAGGAAAATGTGATAAATATATGTACAAAAAACAAAAATTTGAGATATTCAATAGTTACCAAAGAATTAACAATGCTAAATTCAGCAAAATTCTTGAGATCTTGCGAGCAATGAGTCTTGATCAAATTTAAAAGGGTGAGGTTTAATAGTGCAGCTTAAACTTATAAATGGCAGCACAATAGATCTTTTGGTTGCAGGGTGCAAGGTATATGTGAGGCATACTACCTCAAAGTTTATATATATACGTTTGATATCCATTATTGTAGCTTTAACACATTGTTTCCTCAAAACACATAGGTTTTAGTGAATATAATACCAGAGAAGACAGAAATCAAATGATCTTCATAAAAGTTTTATTTATTATTGAAAATTCTATGAGAACTTATAAGTAATTCGAATTTCCTTATATAGACTTTGTCAAAGCATATTAATGATTTTTTTTTGTTTTTAGGTGAGATTCTTTTTTTTTAAATTTTTTAAAAAAGAAGTATATCAAAGTAGAAGAATTTAGAATTTTTTCAAATTGGTAGTTTCAGTGACAATTTTTAGCGCCTGAAATTGATATTGTCAGGAATTTATATTCTCAACTACTTATCCATCGCCAACTCATTTATGGAATGCAGCAATATGGGTGGCTAGCTGAACATGTTTAAACGCGAAGATAAAGCAATCAATAATTTTCGAAGCTATTCTTTGTAAATGGAACCAAACCATAAAAAATGATAAATCCATAAATTGAATTGATTAAATTTCGAACGCCGGTTAATTTTAAATAATTATATTAATACAA